TCCAATTTGAAATCTTTAAGTAAGAAAATTGTATTGGCCTGATGTTGCGTCAGGTAGTCTCCTAGTTTGGTCAACTGAAGCCAGAGCATGAGGTCACAGAATATGAATATAGTCCCTTGGGGGCCTACTCATGGAAGTGAGCAGCATTTCTCAGAGAAAAGATGTCAATTGTCATGATTAAGTCGGAGGGGTGGGCATGAACCATGGAGAGGAATACTCAATGCCTAGAGGGGCTTTTCGTTTCTCTCCCCAACACATTCAGAGATACAGACCTAGAGACGGCTATAGATACAGATATAGATGATATAGATATATTCTAGTTCCTAATTCTAAAAGTAAAGTTCCTTTTGGACAATTTGAAAAAAAAAAAATCAAGTCACCATTTTCTTTCCTCCTTTACTTTCCATTTTGTCCCTACCTCCCGTCCTGTGAGGCGATACAATCTGGTATCTGAGGGCGGCTTTAGCTATAGCCTCACTTCACCACCTTCTGGCCCTGTGACTTTGGGCAAATTATTTAACAGCTCTCTGTCTTGATTTCTCCATCCACGTGGGGATATCAATGATAGCCCTCACCGTAGAGGAGTCTCAGGAATATTAAGGAGTTCATATATGCTTAGTGCTTAGTGTAGCATCTGGTACATAGTGAGAACTTGTTTATTGTTCGTGATTATGATGCATCTGAAACTGCATTCCAAATTTTTAAAATTTTTTCTTGACCGTTCTAAGGATGGAAGGTGGACTTCATCTTTAAGTAACAACTGTTTTTATGTTCTTGAGAACCCAAAGGAGTGGCAACCCGTTGTTCCTGAACCAATGGAGTAATCCAAATGCAGATGTTTTAGATGGAGATGCTGAGGCTGCTGTTTAATAACACAAAAAGCCATGGGGCGCCTGGGTGGTTTAGTCGGTTAAGCGTCTGACTTCATCTCAGTTCATGATCTCAGGGTCCTGGGATTGAGCCCCACATCGGGCACCCAGCTCAGCAGGGAGTCTGCTTGTCCCTCTGCTGCTCCCCCCTCCTGCCCCGCTCAAATAATAAAATCTTTAAAAACACACACACACACACAAAGCTGTTTTTTACTGGGGATAGTATACCTCTGTCCAGATTGTTGCAATGTCTCATGTCCTCTGTTGATGGTCAGAAATAAGAAGTTGGAGGGGTACCTGGGTGGCTCAGTCAATTAAGCATCTGACTCATGATTTCAGCTCAGTTCATGATCTTGGGGTTGTAGGATCGAGCCCCCATCAGCCTCCGAGCTGGGCGTGGGGCCTGCTTGAGGGTCTCTCTCTCTCTCTCTCTCTCCCTTCCTCTCCCCGCATCATGTTCTATCCCTTAAAAAAATCAAGAACCTGAAATCTCAAAACTACTATTCTTTTTCACTAAAACATTTAAAACAAATGACTATGAGAATTTGCTATCAAGAAGGTATTTTAGAGTTGCCTGGTTGGCTCAATTGGTAAGGCATGCAACTCTTGATCTCAGAGTTGTGAGTTTGAGCCCCATGTTGGGTGTAGAGATTACTTTTAAAAAAATGTATTTTATTTGGTAACAAAAATGCCAGACAAATTCCCAAAGTAACAGAGTACACTCAGTTTTGAAGAAGTCCAATAAAGTTTGACAAAATTAGTCTCTGCATTCAGTGTGGAATCTGCTTGTCCCTCTCCCTGTGCTCCTCCCCCTGCTCTCTCTCTCTCTCTCAAATAAATAGATAAATAAAATCTTTTTTAAAAATAAAAATTAAACTAAAAAAAAAGAAATAAGAAGTTGGGGCCCCAGCGCCTGGATGGCTCAGTCGGTTAAACATCTGCCTTCAGCTCAGGTCATGATCCCAGGGTCCTGGGCTCAAGCCCCGAGTCAGGCTCCCTGTTCCGCGGGGAGCCTATTTCTCCCTCTCCTCCCCATTTGTGCTCCCTCTCTCTCTCTCAAGTAAATAAATAAAATCTTTAAAAAAAGAAGTTGGGGCCCCAGGACTTGGGTGGAGAGTACTAGAGGAAAGCCCCATCCAGGAGGGTGGGGAAGCTCCAGGGCCATGGCACGCTCAGAGCTAAGGGGAGGGACTGCTCAGAGGGAGCCCCTGGAAAGGGCTCTACAAAGGAACTTTAGAAGCATGATATCTGATATCCACTTTTAAGTTTTCTTTCTCTGCACTGTAATTCCCTTATGTAATCCTGAAGACTTCACAGAGTTTGTTGAAATTGCAGGCTTAGGTTTGCCGTGTCTTGGGTAATAGAAAGAAGGTTTTCACATTTCATGATAAGGTAGATTAGAGAGTGACGGCCAGCTGGAAAAGCCATTATGAGATGTCCAGGGGTGATTGGGGAAGAGTCCTAGAGCAGATGACCAGTGGAAACCAGCATACATGGTGGAATATGTAAACACTTTCTGGAGATTCTCAGAAATACGCGGAAAGAGGACTGGACTTCCTACCGTCATATGAGATGGAGAGTAGAATCAGTATATGTGAAGAGAAGGCAATCTAATAAGGCTGGGAAATCTGGAGAATATCTCTCTTTCACTCTCTCTCTCTATAGATATATAAAACAAATGTGTATTGTGTGTATGCATGTGTGTATACTATATATCTACACTGGGTTTATATAGTACATACTTTTTCACCTTATATCACGAGGCTTTCTTAGTATCCTTAAATATTATCAAGCACATAATAAGTATATAATGAATAATGGCCTCTTAGTACCCTATGGTGTGATTATTCCATGCTTTATTTAACTAATTCCAATTATTGGACTTTTTTTTAGTTTTTCACTTTTGTAAATAACACTGCAGTGAACATTCTTACGTAGTCTTTTTGCATATTAAAAAAATTAAATCTGGGGCACCTGGGTGGCTCAGTTGGTTAAGTGTCTGACTGTTGATCTCAGCTTAGGTCTTGATCTCAGGGTCATGGGTTCAAGTCCCGCATTGGGCTCTATGCTGGGAGTTGAGCCTACTTAAAAAAAAAAAAGTATTTCTCACACTAAATTCTCAGAACTGTATTTTCTGTGGCAAATGTTTTAAACGGTTTTAGGCTTTTGATAGAGATTGACAAATTGCCCATTGGAAAGATCATACCCAGAAGGACTCCATAACCACCATGCTCCCATACCCCCAGAATTGTATGAGTGTCCATTTCACTACATTCTTCCTAGGGTAACTTGCATATTCAGGGGATTAGCTGTGTTCATTTAAAGATGCTGAACATGACAGACACGGACACAAGAAGGCATTTGCTTGTTACCAAGGGATTTCACCAAGAAAATATGTCTCAATTTCCATGTCAAAAGAATTGCTTTTCTTTATTTTCACAATAGTCTTTCTTTAGCAGGGTTGGCTGTGAGGAAACATCAATATTTCTTACAGAGAGAACTCATTGGATTCCTAAAAGGGAGCTTATTCTTCATTCTCCCCTTTCTACTTTGAAGGCAATGTGAAATAATCCATCTTCTGGTGACATGATTGAGGAAAAACCTTGTGTTCAATTTTCTCAAGTTTACCCCTGTAGATATTCTGGCTCTAGGGAAATGCCTACTAGTTCTCAGATAATATACTTACAGTGACCAAGACTTTAAATATAATTATGGGGAATACTGGTGGGAAAATGTGACTGAGGCATGAGATCACTTACAGGACCAGATTGATTTATCTGATGTCGTCTGTGAGAACATGAAGGGTTTCAGAGAGGATCTGATGTCATAGATTTGAGAGAAACATCACAAATGATGTGTTCCCACAAACTCTCCTGGCTCTCCCTTAAGTGCACCCCTCAATTTAAGGATAACCATGAGCAGCTCAGAGTTCCCGGCACCCCAGGTGGGCAGGAACATATAGGCACAGTCTATGAGGGAACATCTACCTTGTTGGTGACCCTGCTCCCAAATAGGGAAGTGTGGGTCAAAGAAGACATCTATGCAAACTGTTCAGTTTCTCTGACTTCATGAATTCATGGGAAGTAGCTCTCTGGAAGTGCACTAGAACTCTCTTCTGCCCCTTAAACACTTGACACCACAACTCCTCAACTGAGCAGATAGGAAAACTAAGCAAGAAGGGTAGTTGTATCTCCTGAATTGTAATTAAATCATAAATGAACCTGGGCTAGTTCTTGGAATGCTGTACATTTCCTTTTGTTTTTAACAGAACTTCGCTGACTACCAAATTAAGGCATGTGTATTATAGAGAGAGAGAAAAGTACAAAGAATAAAATAAAAATTACCCATAATCCCAGAATTCAAAGATGACCACTGTTAACATTCTTGTAGATATTTTTTCACTCTTTTATCCATAGATCTATATACGTATGGTCATCTCTTTTATAATCCTGAGGTCATACAGGATTATTTTGTAATCTCCTCTTTTCTTGTAGCAGGTTGTTTTTTATTTTGCACCATTAAAAAATAAAATTGTGAGGAGACTTCTTGGTAGATACCTCAATAGCTCTGATTATTTCTTTTTTTAAATTTAATTAATTAATTAATTACTTTTTAAAGATTTTATTTATTTGACAGAGAGATAGAGAGCACAAGTAGGCAGAGAGGCAGGCAGAGGGGGAGGGAGAAGCAGGCTCTCCGCCGAGCAGGGAGCCCGAAGTGGGACTCGATCCCAGGACCCTGGGATCATGACCTGAGCTGAAGGCAGACACTTAACCGACTGAGCCACCCAGGCGCCCCTAGCTCTGATTATTTCTTTTGGGCTCATTCTTAGAAGTGAAGTTGCTGAGTTAAAGGTAAATCACATTTTAGGGCTTTGGATAAATACTACTAATATGCTCTCCGGAAATGTTAACCATCTTACACATCTATTAGCGGTATGTAAGACTACCTGTTTACCTGCCTCTTCATCTATGCTAAATAGTATTTAAAAAAAAATTTTTCCCGATTTGATTTCTGGTAGATGGTATCAAATAGTCTTGTTCTTATACAGAATTATTGGTGATTTGTATTTCTTCCTCTGTGAAATGTCTGCTCCTGTCCTTAGTTTTGCCTATGTTGCTTGACCTGCAGTTGGACCAACTTGGTAAGCCTGGTTTTGTGCAAAATCCTGGATGACTGAGACTGGCAATTGCTCCACACTGACGAGAAGATGGCTTCCCCACACCCTTGGTCCTGGGAAGCTCCCTCGGGGCGCTTCCATAGGAATGGCTTCTTGCTTTGGTGAGTAGCCCATCTTATGCCATGGACTGTGTGTACATGGGTCACATCTTGCCACACAGGCTGGTGCAAAAATGCTGCCATTTTGAAATGAAAGTTTTAGGTCTGAGGTAATCTCATATCATTTTCACTCAGACTACCAGATTCATAGATTTTCCCAAAACTTCAGCCTTCACAGTTTACATTGAGGGGACATGGCTATGGAGGCCTTATCTGGAAATGACCATTCAGTTAAGTGCAGGCCCCAGGTACCCAAGAATGAAGAACCCCTCCTGTGCCAGGAGGACATTAATGATGACCATGATTGGCCTATGCAACTGGAAATGCTCTGCTATTACAGACCATTCATACCTTGATCAAGCACTCAGTGTGGGCAAAGCCAAGCTTCAGACTAGGAGGAGGATGAGGAAAGATCCAAAAAGCTTCCTGACCACCTACATGAGGGCCCACATACGTGTACACCCATGCATTCTGTTTGCATGCACATGCACATGAAATTATCAAGAAAAGAAACTAAAGGGAATGACATGATCAAAAGCAAATAATTTTATATTTCTTCCTGTCTTTCTCCAAAAATAATTTCTGACTGCCTAAAGGCAAATTAATACAGTAACACCCATACAGCTTACTCCTCTGATGGACCTGTAAAAGGTACTCAAAGACTACCTGCCTAAAGTCTGCAGGCAAAAAGGAAACTGCTTCTTAAGTACATTGGAAAGTCTTTAAATGATTTAATTACACCCATGAAGAACCATAAACTAGGGGTGGGAAACCTCCAGGCCTTAATCTTATTATTATAGTCCAAGTGTTTCATTGTACTTAAGAACCACTTAGACTTCTTACATTTCTAGTTACAATTTTTATTTATTTATTTGTTTGTTTGTTTATTTGTTAAGATTTTATTTTTTGTAAGTAATCTCTATACCCAACATGGGGCTTGAACTTACAACCCCGAGATCAAGAGTGCATGCTCCACTGACTGAGCCAGCCAGGCACCCCTATAATTTATTCTTTAAACTTTTATTTTTATTTACTTATTTATTTACTTACTTACTTATTTACTTATTTATTGAGAGAGAGTGAGAGAGAGAGAGCGGGGCTGGGGGAGGAGCAAAGGGAGAAGGAGAGAGAGAGAGAATCTTAAGCAGGCTCTACCCCCAGTGCAGAGCCCAATGGAGGACTCGATCCCACCACTCTGAGATCATGATCTGAGCAGAAATCAAGAGTTGGATGCTCAACCAAATGAGCCACCCAGGTGCCCCTATTTTTTAAATACCTGTTCTTTACTCATAGACTTCTGAAATCTGGAGAGAGAAAAATTTAAAATAAAATAAATCTTACATTTTACGTTTATTGTTATTTAAATCAGAGGCCATTTTACTTGTAGGCTTTTATGAGATTTCTTTACAATGTTTTGATACTATATTTGGTCATTTGGTTACTAGATTTAAATTCTGATGTTTTAAAGGATCATAGAGTAGTGAATATCTAAAAATGTGCAACTGCGGTATCATCTGATGGTATACCTGATATTAGGTTTCTAGTTAATCAGGCTTAGTTTTATCAGGTCATCTACAACAGCTTGTTGAGGTTCTACTGTGGTATGAAAATAAATATGGATGAGTAATATTGGACTTACCTCTGAATGGGACATAAATTAGTCCAAGAAATATTATTTTCTGAGGACAATAAGAAATTAATATGGATGATAAATTGTTATCTAAGGAATGGTCATTATATTAGCTTACAGTACAAACAAAGTGAATAGTGGATAAGGGGGATAGTAGTGTGGAGTGGGGAGGAAGCATCTAGTAGGTAACTACTGGAGAGTCTAGGAAATCAGGTTCTCCAGCTGAAGGAGGAAGGAGGAGAGAAGACTTGGTAAGGCATGCACAATTCTAGAAATGTGCCCCTTTACCATTCTTCAGCTCAAGTTAATCTTCTGCTCTTTTTTGTTCACTCAACAAATATTTATTGAGCACTTTCCATATACCAGGTACTTTTCTAGGAGCTGGAAATAACGGCAGTGAACAAGACAGACAAAATCCTGCCAAACTTCTTTAAACAATAACCCGTATTTTCTCTTTCTGCTTTCACACCACCCTCTTAGTCTTTCTCCCCCTACAACCTGATATCCTTTCCCACCATCATGATAAAACAGCTCTCTAAAGACCAGTGACCTTCTAATCACTGTATCTAGTGCACCTTTCTCAGTTCTCCTGTTCCTTGGACTCTAGTATTTAATATCATCTGATATCCGTCATTTTTTAAAGTCTCAGCTCCTTTGGGTTCTGTGATATGGCACTAGGTTGTTTTTTGTTTGTTTGTTTTTGTTTTTTTATTTATTTATATTTATATATATATATTTTAATTTTATTCATGAGAGACAGAGAGGCAGAGGAAGAAGCAGGCTCCCCACTGAGTAGGGAGCCTGATTTGGGACTCGATCCCAGGACCCTGGGGTCACGACCTGAGCCAAAGGCAGACGCTTAACCGACTGAGCCACCGAGGTGCCCCAATATGGCACTAGTTTTGTTTCCTACAACTGTTACTTCCGACTCATTCTCTTGCCTCCTAAGTAAATATTGGTGGTCCCTCAAGTCCTACACTTTGCTTATTTTTTTTCTCTGTCTCTTAAATCTTTTCCCCTGATGATTTCTCATGGCTTACATCTTTGGCTCTATTTAGAAAAATCCTAAATCTATATTCCCGGACCCAGCCCTCTCCTAAACTTTAGTCCCACATTTCAAACTGTGTGCAGGAAGCTTCCACCTGGGCATCTGAGCATGATGCTAGCACGATCTATTTAAAAGTATTTGTACCACTCAGGGTTCTCAACTGCAAACAACAGAAACCCACTCTGGCTAAGTCACACAGAAAATGAATTCACTGGGAGGATATCAGGTGGCTCACTGGGTAGACAGGGAAGCCAGAGGACCAAGCATGGAAAACGGGCAGGAACCCAGGCAGTCTAGAGCACGGAGAGCACAGCCAAATTCACCCCACAGGAGGAGTCTGTTGAGGACGCTGCCCTGGAGCTGGCTGTCCCCCCAACTTCCACCCTCCCCCACGATCAGTGCTGGACTTCAGTTTCTCAACCTAACTTCCAGTGTGATACTTAACTGCTAGTTTTTGTGTTATTCCCCCCAATTTAAAAAGCTGAGCTGGGGCTTCCAATTGGTCTAAGTCATGACAAAAATGACCTCTAATTCCCCTCAGCTTCCCACAGAAGGAAAGGAATTCTGATGCAGGCCAATGAAATATGGCAATTAATCACCATATTTTATTTTCTATAATCACCTCATTTCTTGAAGTTGCCATTTGCATTTAATGCTGACATCATTTTCTCCATCACTAGGAACTGCACCTCAAAACTCTCCTTTACCTCTTCCTCTCCTTCAGCTTCTGAGGCAGTCATCCAGGTCTGTGAGGGTTTTGTTTGTTGTTCATTCATGTGTTGTTTCCCTTCACACTCTTTTCTTCTTGGACCTTTCGGAACAGGCCCCTCCCCTGCAACAGCCTCCTAACTGCATTCCTCACTTTCAATGCCTCCTCCAGTTTATCCACCCACAGGTTAATTTTTCTGTGACAACACTTTGATCATATCGCTTGCTGCTAAAACTACTGTTGATAAATGTCTCAGCCTGGCATTTAAAGATCTCCACAACAAGAATCCCAATGAGAATAAGAGGCAAACTGGTGCAGTGAAAAGAACTTGACCCTCAGAAGCAGACTAACATGGGTTCAAACCCTGATTTTCCCACATTCTAATTGTATACTTCTGAGACTCATTTTTTTGGTCTGAAAAATGGGGGTAATAAAATATATCTCTGAGGGCATTTGTAAGTCAGCTCTTTGAAAGTCAGAATGGTGTTGCTATAATTTGCATTTAGGTTGCAACATCAACTCACAGATGCTTATAATGGACAATATTCAATTACAGACCTGTCTGATTCAAAACCTTGAATAAGGTTGTCATCAATGTGGTTTTAACACAGGCAGGTTGGGATCAGCATTCTACATGTTTTGGGGGCTGGCAATCTAACCATCATTTATAGCATTGTTCCTGATTTCAAACAGCTGACTTACAAATGACCTTTTGGAAATATTTTATTTGCAAGTAGAGAACTTCCTGTGTTATTCATTTTGAGAGTTGAATTTCCCTGATTGGCTGCTTTCCACTATAACATTGCTATTTTAAAGTATTTCCCTGCAGAATTTCAATTTTGTGAGAGGCTGCTATGAATTCCTTGTGGGGAAAAAGTGTATAGTTATGGTGAACAGATGAAAATTATTAGTTATCATTTCTAAGGTTTGCCCAACATCCAGTAAATGTGGTGAAGCTCTAGCACGTAGAAAGAAATTTTGAAGCTGGTTCTACAATCTCAAGCCCCACTTCATGGCATAAATCCTAGGTTGGCATTGGAAAAACTTAACTCTTCAGCTCACACTTGTTCTCTTTTCTCTGCTTGTCACGAATGTCCCCATTAAAGCTATCAACATTAACTTGCATCCACATTCATTCACTCACTCATGCATCCAACTCCCTCTAAGTGAGGCATGTTTGGTGATCCTCACAGGATAGATTTCATTCACATAAGCTCTTGCCAAGAATTTACAGGACTGTTAATTGCTCGATTCTTTTCTGAGGTTTGTAAGTCTGGAAAGTCTTAGGTGAAAGATAACAATCATGCCAAGCTTGGTAAAACAATTATTTAATGAGCATGATATTTTAAACCAGTCTCTACAGATACAATTTGTGGGTGAGTGTGTGCAACATATTTTTTTGTTTTTGCATCATTAATGGTTTTTAAAAATTAAAACACATTTATGATATTAAAATAATATAAAAGTGAAATCCCCTGTATCTCTCTCTACCCTTGCCTTCCCCCACTCAATTTTATTTCCTAGAGGCAATTACTTTTTAACACTTTGAGGTATATCCTCCCACACTCTTTGTTTTTTCTCTTGCAATCATTTTAGTTAGCCCTAGGCATTCTTCATGGTTAGAAGCTAGAACAACCCGCCATTTAGCCTCATACAGATTTTGGAGCTCTTTCGTACACTGCTTATGTTAAACATATAATTAAAATAAAGAAACTTCCCCCCCCCCAAAAAAATTTAAGTTTTGTTCTCTATCACACATAAGCTCATGTGGACAATCTACGCAATTCCAGGACCATAGGGTTTAGTCTTTAAAATAACATTAAGAGGGCGCCTGGGTGGCTCAGTTGGTTGGGCGGCTGCCTTCGGCTCGGGTCATGATCCTGGAGTCCCTGGATCGAGTCCCGCATCGGGCTCCCTGCTCAGCGGGGAGCCTGCTTCTCCCTCTGACCCTCCCCCCTCTCATGTGTTCTCTCTCTCATTCTCTCTGTCTCAAATAAATAAATAAAATCTTAAAAATAAATAAATAAATAAATAAATAAAATAACATTGAGAAAAAAAAATAACATTAAGACAATGAAATAAAAGGAGTGGAAAGCCCAACATAACCTAAGAAAAACTAAAAACAAAGCAAATAAAAAAACACTTCATTATTTTTGACTGACACTTTTTTCCCCTGAAGGTTGTTTTGTTGCAAAACTATAAATACAACACTGATATGAAATCTTTTAAGTAACTGATCCTCTCTAACCACTAAAAGGATGTCTTTTTGCCTTGGCATCAACCAACTGGGAAATAATGTTGCAAGAATATGGGGGTAGGGGGGAAAATCTGGGCTGGGGCTTTTTGCAATTTAAGGAACCAAGTAGAACCTTCCTCTTCTTGGGAATATGCCACTTTCGGACAAGAACAGACAGGTAAAAACAGCACCATTTAAACAGCTCAGTTTTAACTTTTATTTATTTGTAAAAATCTTTTTTTTTTTCTGTTCCTTTTCTCTACTTGACATCAGAAAAAGTTTTAAACATCATGAAATTGATTTGGCTGGATATGGAGATACGGTACCAAAGCAAAGTGAAACGAAAAACCCAGAGGACACACAGAAAACCCTAAGTAAACCCCCAAGTTTGGTCTCGGGGGTTTACAGATCACAAGAACCGTCAGCTCAACCCCCATGCACTGTGACTCCTTGAAGAGCAGTTGGATCCACACCAACAACACAGGAGACCGCAAACAAGGTATTCTTGACTGACACAGAGAGAAAAAGTCGAGAAGCCAGAGTTTATAGTTACCCCTCAAGGTCGTCTAGCTAATGAGGGCAAAACAAAGAAATCAGTGTAAGAATTTTTTATTTTCCTTCAAAACTCAGGTCAAGGCTTTGACAATAGATGTTGTGTATCTTTAAAAGTATTCTGAAACTGGGACCCCTGCGTGGCTCAATCAGTTTAGCGTCTGCCTTCTGCTCAGGTCTTGATCCGGCTCAGCTCATGATCCCAGGGTCCTGGGATCGAGTGCTGTATCAGGCTCCTTGCTCAGCGGGGAGCCTGCTTCTCCCTCTGCCTGCCGTTCCCCCCTGCTTGTGGTCTCTCTCTAACAAATAAATAAATGAAATCTTTAAAAAAAAAAAAAAGGCATTCTGAAACTCCTCCTACCATAAACCATTTTGACATAGAGGGGAAGGTAACTATGCACAGAGTCAAGATTCTACATATAAAGAAAATGTTTTAAACTTGTATTATTTGATATGGCTATACTTACCTTTTGCAATAATTGGACTCCTGGGGAATGGTGTATATTTTACATTTACCTGAATTAAATTGCACTTAAGGGGCTCAAAGTGAGGGGCAGGGGGAGTTCTGTATTGAAAATAATCTAAAGATAAATCCTTTGAAGAACCTAAATAAGTACCCAGTAATTGGTAATTGTATAGCATATTTGGATTTTTATGTGTGTTTGTTTGATGATAATGTATGGTTATGTTTTCATTTTGAGGGATTTATGTTCAATCTTCCATTTTATTATGGCATTATTAAACAGCTTGGCAGATCTAATTTGATAAATATAAAACACAAAAATTAATACTGGTTGCTTTAAAACAGTGGGGCATTGGTTGTTGAATAATGTATTCAGTTTGACTAGTTTTCAGAGTTCTTCTGTTTGTCCAATATTAATAAATATTTATTGACCAGCTTCTCTGTAATAAGCACTGAGTATACAATGGTTTAAGCAAAAACAGGCACCACACAAGCCCACTTACAATAATAACAGCAGCTAATACTTAGTACTTACAACATAATGGGCCCTGTTCTAAGGGCTTTACCTGTATTATCTCATTGCATCCTCTCAGTAACTAAGAAATAGAAATAGTATCATCTTCATTTTACAGAGGAAAAAACTGAGGCACAGAGACAGTGTTACACAGCTACTAAGTATGGGATTTGAATACTAAGCAGTATGGGATTTGAATCTAAGCAGCATGATCTCAGAGCCTGCAGTCTTAATCACTGTGATGTACTACCTCTCCTATATTCTAAAAGCTCTCCCAGTAGTATACAATATAATGGATGAAACACTTATTGAATAATCATTCAAGTAAATAAAAATTATAACTCTGATAAGAGCTATGAGAAGAAGTATGGCAGGAACTATTTGGCTAGTTTCTCTTTTCCTTCTGGTTACAAAGTTAAGCTGTACTTCCTAGCCTTCCTTGCAGTTAAGTGCAGTCATAGAACTAAGATGTGGCCCATGGATTATGGATAAAAGTGACAGATACACTTCCATGCCTAAAATATAAAAGCTTCCTAATTGGTCCTCTGTGTTCTTCCACTACTACTCGCATTCACTAGCTGAAAAGAGTGGAGTTCAAGATAGAAGCTTGGATCCTTGAATGACTTCATGGAGCGAAGTCCCCTGATGATCTGCATTGGATACTGATAGAAGTGAGAACATTTTATTATATTAAGCTAACTGAAATTTGGGAACTTTTATAATAGCATCTAGCTTATTTTGACTAACACAGAAAAAGAAACCTTTAAGTTGAATGCTGCTGTAGGGAAAAAAGAACTAAAACATGTGATCTTGAATTCATAGTTAGGTTGGAGATGGTGTGAAAACAAATATTGGAGGCTGAATTACGGGAGAGACTTGCCATGTCATGGCAAAAGATTTGCTACAACTGTTGCTTATGCAACTTGGAAGGTAGCATACTACTTGCCTAGTAAGCATATTGTTCTAGAGGAAGTTTTTGGAAAGAGAGTAATAATACGTGTTGGCTACTATTTGCTAACTTTAGTAAAGCATTGCAGGAAAGAGAAAAAGTCAAGCAAGAACTGACTGATTTGGAAACAGAAATAAAAAAGAGAATTAGAGGGGCGCCTGTATGGCTCAGTTGGTTAAGCGACTGCCTTCGGCTCAGGTCATGATCCTGGAGTCCCGGGATCGAGTCCCACGTCGGGCTCCCTGCTCAGCAGGGAGTCTGCTTCTCCCTCTGACCCTCCTCCCTCTCATGCTCTCTGTCTCTCATTCTCTCTCTCGCAAATAAATAAAATCTTAAAAAAAAGAGAGAGAATTAGAGAAGTCCAGAAATTTGGAAGCTAAAAGATTAGAAAGCTAACTACTTCTAGATAGGAAACAAAATATTAAATACCTTTGAGTAACAAAGGTCCATTTAGATCCAGACTACCATGATCTAAGAGTGCGGTTTTCTCATCTAAATCTAATGACTTGAATTAGCCCCCCATTAAATTCAGAGAGAGAGGAATTGGGGAAGAAAGCAAAGACATAAATCATGCTTGAGAATTATGTGTAGGAAAGAAGTATGGGTGTGGTTATTGGCACATGTGGCTGACTGGAAGCAAATGGATCAGAAACCTACCAAGTGTTTGAGGGAATCATGTTCTCAAAGAAATCATTTGACTATTTCAGTTGGAAATAACCTTTGCATCTCATATTTGTACCAGTAAGGAGTGAGCTGAACAGGCTATAAGGAAGGTATATTCCTCAACACCTCTCAGAATAGCAAAGCCAGGGGCCATGGAGTAAAACGGACAAGGAAATTCCTTGGAAAGAAGATTAAGATTTAAATGAAGATTTTCCTTACCCTTCAAAATGCTTATCCCAGCATTCTGGTTACAGAAGCATTATGCTTATTTCAGGATTCCGGAATTGCTGTGGAGGAATAATTGCTATATTTCTCCTCCTAGTTGTCCTTTTTCTGCATGAGCATTTATTTCATTTTTCCTGTCTTTGCCCTCATATATATATATAAATTTTTTATTGTCCTCACTAGTTAGGATGAGCATTTTTATTTTAAAATAAAAGTAAGTGAGGGGTGCCTTGGTGGCTCAGTCGGTTAAGCATCCAACTCTTGATTTCGGGTCAGGTCGTGATCTTGTCGTCATGGGATCAAGCCCCATGTCAGGCTTCAAGCTGGGCATAGAGCCTGCTTAAGATTCTCTCTCTCTCTCCCTCTCCCCTCTGCTCAAGTGTACTCTCTCTCTATTAAAAAAAAAAGTAACTGAAACGAAGGCAGATTAATCATGAAGTTAAAGAAACTTAAGCTCTAGGGGTCTCTTCCAAGGCTCTAGGAAAGTGTGTCTTTTCACTCTAATCTCTCCTTTGTCATATTTCCCATTATGTCAGGTGGTGTTGTAGTGGCTTTGGATATTTTAGGTATCTAGCTAACGGAAAGTTGAGTTGGGGATATATTTAATCTCAGGCTTAATGAGACACTTACATGGATTACACTCACATTTAATTAAATTATTGCTGGCTGTCTTTGTTTAGCAATAGATTCCAGGAAAATTCCTATGGGCCATTGCACTGATTCACCCAGCATCCTATCATGGAAGTGGTGGGGCTAGGGGTCATAATACACTATGAACATACAGGTAGCACTGAAAAATTGTGTGGGTCTTATGGGAGAAATAAGGTTTGAAACATAAAAAGCCAGAAGCTAGACTAGGGAAAATTCTTCTAATTGTTTTTTTTTTTTTAAGATTTTATTAATTTATTTGTCAGAGAGAGCACAAGCAGGGGGAGTGGGAGAGGGAGAAGCAGGCTCCCCGCTGAGCAAGGAGCCCGATGTGGGACTTGATCCCAGGACCCTGGGAACATAACCGGAGCCGAAGGCAGACGCTTAACCGACTGAGCCACCCAGGCATCCCCTTCTAATTGTTATATATGTGATATGTATTTGGTTGTCACTGATGTCAAACAAAATAGTTCCATCAGGAATATACTCAATAATTCAGTATACATAGTTTAAAATTCACCGTACATTTTATTTTCTTTTTTTAAATGGAAATCACATGAAATAGAATTAATCAGAATTCCAGCAGCAACACTACAAACAGCTGTACTATATGTGCAAAGTGGTTTTTTATGCATTCCAACTATATCCCAATAATAAAGACAAATTTGATAAACCGTGCTAGAGGAAAAACTAAGTTATCTTTTTATCCTCTCTATTAAAAAGTTTTTTAAAAACCACTGTCATGGGACGCCTGGGTGGCTCAGGCGGTTGGGCATCTGCCTTCGGCTCAGGTCATGATCCCAGAGTCCTGGAATCGAGTCCTACATCAGGCTCCCTGCTCAGCGGGGAGCCTGCTTCTCCCTCTCCCCCCTGCTTGTGTATCTATTAAGAAAAAGAGAGGGGCGCCTGGGTGACTCAGTCATTAAGCGTCTGCTTTCGGCTCAGGTCATGGTGCCAGGGCTCTGGGATCGAGCCCCGCATCGGGCTCCCTGCTCGGTGGGAAGCCTGCTTCTCCCTCCCTCCTGCTTGTGTTCCCTCTCTTTCTGTGTCTCTCCCTGTCAAATAAATAAATGAAATCTTAAAAAAGAAAAAAGAATCATTGTCATATGAAGAAATAAAGTGTACGCAACCAAGAAATTTAGTAAAAAAAAAAATATTGGAGTTATGTTGGGCAGTTAATTGAACGCTGTATTTCTTGATTTTGTAACATTCGTAGAATTTGCAGGCTTCTTAAAATGTGTAATCTGTTGTGATTTCTTTTCTGCGTCTAAATAAATACTCCATTTAACCCAATTTTGTGCTTGTTTTTTTAGAAGGGCTTCACAAACAGAAAAACTTCAAGCCCCACAAAATGTGGATCCTTCTCTGAATTAAAAAAAAAAAAATATATATATATGTATTGTAGTATATCAATGGAAGTTCTTTTCTTTTAACTGACCTAAGGCAGAGAGTGTTGTGTGCAGACACAGAAAAGCAGCTGTAAGAATTAAGGCCTTCTCAAACATTAAGTGGTTAGACTTAATAGAAACTTACAGATATAAAAATGCCCGTGGTAGAGGAAACTTTGGGTAAATAATTTAATTTTGAAACAGGAGGAAACTCTGGACACCATTTAGTCTGTAACCTCAATTTATCTTGGCTGCCTTATGGCTTGTCTCCACATGGTATGGTATTCAGAAGACACACAGGTCTGATATCCAAAAAAGACATGAAAAGTAATTTAGATTTTTAGGGAAGATTTTTAAAGAGGCACCGGAGGGAGAAGTTTACTGCATGACAGCAACAAAATGTTTAACCATCCTTTCAACTAAGTCCCTCTCATTATGATAGTTGCTAACCTCATATTTCTCATCTCCCTTCTTCAGTCTGTTCCTTTCTCCTGCAATTTGTCTAGAATGACGCGAATTCTTCCCTAACTCAGCTCTTAATTATTGTATACATCAATTTAGTTCATGAGCATCTTACAGTGCTCCTCTTCATTACTCTGATCCACACAACCAAGTCCCAAGAAGAACTTTGGAAGCCACTGGAAGGTCTTTAGAAGGAAGGAGAATAGGGGTGAGCAGGGGAGGGAGGAGGACGACGAAGGTTGTTGTTTATATGCGCTTTGGTTACAAGTCCAGTCCTTCCATTTGCAAATGAATAAAGTTGAGTCCCAAGTAAGTTTAGTGACTTAATGCTCACCTACTTAGTCACATGGAGTTGGGCTGAGAACTCAGGCTTACTTCATTAAAACCCTTTGTTATAGTTCACTAATAGGCAATCTTATATGCCCCATAGGGGGTTGCTTTGCATCTCTGGTGGAAAGAACACCAGGGGGAGTAAGGAAGCCTGAGTTCTAGCTCTGCTTCTACCAGGCTCCATGACCTTGGGCAGGTCCGGTCCTTTCTAAGGCTCAGTGTTCTCCCTGAAGAGGAGGCAAGGTGAACTCTTGGGTCTTGTCCAGCACTAACATTCCTTGCTTCCAGTCTGTTTTGAGCCCTGAGACTGTGGCAGTGGTAGCCTTGAGTTAGTCAGGAAGACTCACCCCCATATATCCCGTACTAGGGTAGAGGGAGAACCCGGGAAGAAGGGAGTCCTCCTCGCACTTGTTTGCCTCCTTGGTGTCCTTGTAGGACACACGGGTGACCATCTTCTGTCTGGTGGGGGGTTCTGGACTTGGGCTCCAGTGGGACTCTCATAACCCCAAGGGGCTATGAGAATCTCTCGACGCTCCTGGGAATCTCAGGCCAGAGGCCAACCCTTACCATGACCCATTCGGAACCAGCTTCAAAACCCAAGTCCCCAGGCCCTCGGCAGAACCACTGCGCAAGCGCAGCCACCAGTTCGGCGCGAGGCGGCCGGATCCCGAGGCCGAAGCAAGGTGAGAGGGAAGGGTCTGCAAGCCCCCGCCTCCATGTTGTCACGTGGGAGGCGGAGTCGGAAGCGTGACGGCGTGCGCAGGGGCGGAGCTACCGCCGCGCGCGGGCGCGGGGGCGGGGCGCAGCGCGGCGTTCGCGGTTGCTGCCTGGTAGGGAGGCCAGGCAGGCGGCGGAGCGGCGCGGCTCTCAACCTGACGGGGAAGTGGCCCGGGCGGCTGCGGCTGACTGCCCCGGGACGGGCGGACGATCCGACGACGGAGGCGGGGGCTAGGCGCCGAGCCCGGCAACCTAGAGAGCGAGCGGATCAGGCTCAGCGGCGGTCACCCTGTCGGTCCGCTGAATGAAGTGCCCGCCCCGCTGAGCCCCGAGTCCGGCGCTTTCCCCGCAAGATGGACGGTTTTGCCGGCAGCCTCGGTGAGTACGGCTGGGGAGTCCTCCGTCTTCTCCGCGGAGTGGGAGCCTTGTTCTCGCCACACAGAGCCCAGGCCCTGCTCTCCACCCTGCCCCTGGGGATGGTAGTAGTTCCACTGCACATGTTCCCCTCGAGGCTACCGCCCCTCCGCTGGCTACGGCGGACTCAGAACCCCTCCCCCCATGCCCAGTCCTCCTCAGCAAGACCCTCCCTTCCTCCCAGCGTCCCCTTCAGTGCATGGCCCTCCTTCCCGCACAGTGGAAACCCCCTCTCTCAGAGAGGCCCCCCAGTAGCTGGTACATCCCTTTGCATACAATCACGGCTCCCCCCTCAGACCTACCTTCAGGGTTGGGGCACCCCTTTCTGAAACCTTGACCCCTTCAGGGCACAATATTTTTCCTTTCCACATACTGAGCTCTCTTTCAGAGTGGAGGCACCCCTTACCCACGCAGGGGCTCCCTTTTTAAGGTAGGGACCCCCATTTCCTCTTCAGGAAGAGGGCACCCCCCCCAAGTCTTCACTTTAAATTTGGAGACTTCTTTTAAGTGTATCTCCAAGTGTCTGACAACTTCCCTTCTTTCCTTCCACTTCTCTGAACATATTGCAGTGGTGGAGAGAACTGGAAGAAATGAAGCATCATTTGCTTAATGCAGGAAAGGAAGAGGTGCATCTGTGTTGGGGGACCCTCTTTAAAAGAAGAGTGAAAGCAGAAGTATTCTCTGGCTCTTCAGGCATGCTGGGGAGAAGTCATTCTGCCCAGTGACTCCATAGGAAAGGGGGCCTCTGTCAGGGAAAGAAAGGATTCTCCATTTTTGGTATATGTTGTCTTTGTGGAATGGAAGAGGTTATTAAGTAGGCTGCAGTATCCTTTCCGTGTTCCCTTTCAGCAGAATAAAGGTAGTATATTTTGTAACTGGCTAAGGGAATCAGAACTAGAGGCTGGTACTCAACGCCCTATAATCTGTGTCTGGAATTACTATTCTTTGAGGCCATTGGAATCTGGTTACTCTAAAGATTGAGCTCAACTGTTATGATGGTGAGAGAAACAGTTTCTGCTTTGGCTGATTCTGCAGTTATGTGATACCTGTTGCTGGATTTGTATTTTCGGTATTTTACGTGGAGGTAGTTTGTATTCAGACGCCTTTCTTGGTAATAAATCCCTGGTTGATTAATGTTCATGGATCAGTGCGTGATCTGGCCATAGGCCACACTTTATTCAGCCATATTGGGATTAGTTGAATTTTTAAAATCTAAAGTCAAAAAGTTAGTGGAAGAGCAATGGACCCATTATAGGTATTAAATAGTAAAAACTATAATTTTGGCCCTGAGCCTCTGTGGGAAGAAAAGAAAAACACACATTAGAGTTCTTTGAGAGTGGAAATCCTAAAATAGGAGACAACTGAGTGTTACTCTTTCCTCCCAAGGGCACCTGTTGTCCATTATCTAACGTTTGATGTCTTATAATTCCTTACATAGTGAGGTTGTTTCATTCTTGGCTCCTTTTAAAGAGGCATCAATTTTTCACTGCTTTCTTTCTTTTTTTTGCCTCATGCCTGCATTTATTCACTAATCATAGTGGACTGAAAGACGTGCCCTATATGTTCACAAAGAGGTGCTCGTATACTAGGGCAAAAATTGAGTGTATTGGGAGATGTGGGACTGAGATACTGCACTGTCGGCTCCTCAGCATTTAGGAATGGTGGGAGCACTACTCAAAGTAGAAATCAGCTTTTACTTCTTTCCTGTTGATTCCAAGGACTTCTGAAAGGCTTGCCAAGGCTTCATTTTCTTTAAGTGTTTTGAGGGAATCTTTCTCACCAATTAGGGGAACTTGTTTATTTTGGAAACAGTAGATATACCTTGTTCAATAACTTTATTCCTTCTTATTCAATTCATGAGGAACTGATATGAGAGATTGAAAGGTGAAGAATTGCTGTGGGGGCTCCACTTTTCATAAAGAATGTTACAGCTGACCCTAACATTAGGGATTTTTTTTTTATTCATTTGATGCCATCCTTGATTGGATAAGATTTTTCTTTAGATAGGTGTTGATCAGCTGCAAGGGAGATGCCTGTCTCTAAAGAAAGGAACCTGTGTCAGCAGAGAGGGAAAGAAATGGTTCCTGGCAGTATTTCTGGAGCTACTCCTGATGAAGAAAGTTTTCAGCAGGAGCTCTGTGCTTTCTCTTTCTGTCCCCCCTTGTAAGAGTAAAACTAGGCCCTATCTTAATGGAAACCTCTAAGGGGTGGGGGTGGGGGTGGGGGAGGGGTAATGCTGGTATATTTTACTGGTAGTCTTTAAACAGAGCTTTACTTAGCTCTTGCCAGATTCCTTATTTCTGTTCCCTGCAGTTCATTAGTCTAGAGCTTAGAGTTACACTGATCTTTATTTTATCGTAAGAGAGCTATGAATGTAAAGGCAAGCACTTGTATTCTAGAAGGTGTTTACAACTTTTTTTTTAACTAAAGAATTCAAAACGTGATGTTCATCTGGGGTCACAAGTATTGAAAGCATTTATTTATTCTCAAGGAAGTATACATGTATATCTCCTTTTGTATACCAGATGGGTTCTTAAAAAAAAAAAGGTGAGAAAACTTCATTTATATAAGCAGAAAAGTTAAGTGCTTTATAAACAGAATGATTCTAGAGAAGCTGATTATTTAAGGGAATCTTATGCTGGGTCATTTTGTAAAGTGGAAAACTTAAAATTCAAACTGTACCCTTGATTGCTGAGTGTTTAGATAAGGAAGACACTATGCGTCTTATAAGATGTCTGAATTAAAGCTTTGTATATTGGCTTTTGAGATCATTGAGAGCAATGTTAGGTGATTGGTTATGTTCTGTGTGCCACGTTGAAATTATATACCTGTCGTATTACTTTTGTTTTACATAAAAACAGCTAAAGGATGCTTTTAATCTCTGCCGCTGATGAATTTTAGGCAGTTTGGCTGGCAGGTGCTTGTACTATGGAATTTCCCTTAGGCATAGTATCTTTTCGTTCATAGATTATGGT